GCCTGGCCATTTTTTGGTTGCAGCCATCATTGTTGTTTGGCAGGCCCGGGCTGGGGATTCGAACCCACCATCCTTAGGTGTATGTGGCTGGCGCCTTAGCCGCTTGAGCCACAGGCGCCGAGCCCAAAATTCAAAAAAGAACAGAACATTATAAAATAAAATTGCTCTTATTTTTGTAGCCCAAGTGATAACTACAAATTTTTGGAATTTTTGTATTAAATTAGATTAGGGTACAGGTGATAATGTAAAATCTTAAAGGAGATGGAATTTAAAGATACTTTGTAGTCATGTACTAAAATGGGGCTAATTGTGTTCCTTCTAGAATTGCCCCACTTAAGAACTAGTACTAGACCTAAGTGTCAAAGTGTTTGGCATTCATATTTCTTTGTTTTCAAAGCTTATCAAGCTAATATTATGTGGTATTCTTGTATACTAATGTTAAGAATTGTATATACAGAATCCCTATCTACACCAAGACATGTTTTCTGAAATCATATAATTTTTAGTAGGGCATAACCAGCTCATAGAGTTAAAAACTTTATTTGCCTTAAATATTGGAAAATGAGAATTTTAGAAGTGTTTAAAAAAGGTATAACAGTGCCTTGTGACATAAAAACATTCTTAATAAGCTAGTGTAGGAATGTAATTAAGGATAGGGATGAGGGAACTATATAACACTAATTTTTGCTCAATTGTGAACATATTCTGGTACCTTGGTAAGCCATTGAACAAAAATGTTAATTTTCTTACCTCTAGAATGGAAATGATTTTGCTTAACTTGTATAGAGTAGCATAGTAGGGAAGACAAAAGATTTGTTTAAAATAAAATATTTCGACTTAGCAACTATAGCTCAGTGGCTAGGACGCCAGCCACATATACCAGAGCTGGCAGGTTCAAATCCAGCCCCGGCCTGCCAAACAACAATGACAACTACAACCAAAAAAATAGCTGAGTGTTGTGGCGGGTGCCTATACTCCCAGCTACTTGGGAGGCTGAGGCAAGAGAATCGCTTTAAGCCTACAAGTTTGAGGTTGCTATGAGCTGTGACCCCACGGCGGCACTCTACCCAGGGCAACAGCTTGAGACTCTGTCTGAAAAAAAAAAAAAATTTCATAAATATCCCAATGTCAAGTATGAAGTGCATTAGTTGATCAGATATTTAAACTCTTTCAGCTATTAAACAATAGAAGAAAATGGAATTGAATAAGATGTCAGCATGGAACAGTCTAATGATTCACTAAGAGTCAACCATAATGATGATGAAGAGTCAAACACAGATGCTCAGGTATTTGAGGTAGGGATTCAGCTGAAAACTTTTTTCCATCCCAGGGAACAACAGCATGGCATTTAACAACCCTTTATACTTAAGAGATAGCTGTTATATTTAATGTGTTCAAAATGTTAACATTTAATTATTTATATATTTTATAATAACAGTGTATTTAGCCTTATAATATCAAGCATTAATGCTTTGAAGTATTCATAAAAATTTGTATACAAAGAAAAATCTGGGCTGGGCATAATGGCTCACATCTGTAATCCCAGCACTCTGGGAGGCCGAGGCAGGTGGATTGCCTGAGCTCACAGATTTAAGACCAACCTGAGCAAGAGCGAGAGCACATCTCTAAAAATAGCTGTGTATTATGGTTGGTGCCTATAGTCCCAACTACTCAGAAGGCTGAGGTAAGAGAATTGCTTGAGCCCAAGAATCTGAGGTTGCTGTGATCTATGATGCGACGGCACTCTACCAAGGGCCACAAAGTAAGACTCTGTCTCAAAAAAACAAACAAAAAAAAATCTGTAGGTTGATTGCATTCCCATTCACAGTTTTATTTTAATAAAATTGAGATAATGAAATGCAATTAAATCAGTTTTCCTTAAGAAATACTTCGTATCTTTCTGTGTGAATTGACAACCCTTGGAAAGAGTAAAATGAACAACTAATTGAAAAATGATTGTCTTTGCATTTTTAGTACACATATTCTATTTTTAAAAAAATATTGGCAATATATCTTACAAAAACCAAAGTGATCTTGTTTTCTTTGCAAAAGCATCTAACCTGTATGGACTCCAAGGATTCTTCCTTTGGACGAAATGATACTCCTACAGTTTTGCCCATCACTACTCCGGAAGCAAATCATTCACTCACATCACAGAATATACCAGGGCCCTTGACTCAGACCCAGACACTTTCAGCAGAGCAGTTCCATCTAGTTGACCAAAATGGGCAACCTATTCAATATGAACTTAAGTCATTGGGGGATTCTAATGCACAAATGGTGAGTATATTTCATAAGTAATTAGTTTTATGCTATTTTACAAAATACAGTAGTCTTACTGTATGACCTTAATTTCTTAACACTTTTGATTTACACTGTTGAAAATACTGTTCCCATAGCTTTCATTTTTGAGTAAGGAGTTTGCAAGATTTCCATTTAATACTATAAATAGTACTTTAAACCAGTGCTTCTGGCTCGGCGCCTATGGCTCAAGCGGCTAAGGCGCCAGCCACATACACCTAAGGTGGCGGGTTTGAATCCCCAGCCCGGGCCCGCCAAACAACAATGATGGCTGCAACCAAAAAATGGCCAGGCGTTGTGGCGGGCGCCTGTAATCCCAGCTACTTGGGAGGCTGAGGCAGGAGACTCGCTTGAGCCCAGGAGTTGGAGGTTGCTGTGAGCGTGATGCCATGGCACTCTACCCAGGGGGACAGCTTGAGGCTCCGTCTTAAAAAAAAAAAAAACAAAAAAAAAAAACCAGTGCTTCTTAGTCACTATATCTAGGCACACTGGTGCTCTGAGAATAGTTGAAAATTTAATGTCAGTTGCAACTTGTGATAAAGTGCCAGAGTTCATGTGTACATTAAACTGAACTGAAGGTTTTTGGTTTATCAACATCTCATTCACTAACCTGCGTGCCACATGTAGTCTGCTTTCTTGAAGAAAAAGCAATAGTGGAGGTACTACTTGTGTACTAGGAATTAGACATACCCTTTCTCATTTTTGTAGATAAATACATGTTGTATGAATAACAATGCATAAAGATAAAAAAGATTAAACTGCCTAAGTACTTTTAAAGCTGGTAGCCAAAAGTACTTTGACCAAGTTCATAATTTGAGTAGAAGAGATGAAAGACACTTTTGATTGAAATGCAGAAAATTACTAAGTAAAACTTTTAACTTTTAGTTAATAAGAATATACTGAGATATCATACTATGAAGTATTATATGTTCTTTTGCTTTCCTGAATTTTCCAGATTTCCTACAAATTGAGTATTTATTACTTCCACAATAAAATTTTTTAAAAAACATGAGAGTGGCTCAGCACCTGTAGCTCAAGCAGCTAAGGCGCCAGCCACATACACGGAAGCTGTCAGGTTCAAATCCAGCCCAGAACTGCCAAACAACGACAACTACAACCAAAATATAGTTGGGTGTTGTGGCGGGCGCCTGTAATTCCAGCTACTTGGGAGGCTGAAGCAAGAGAATTGCTTAACCCCAAGAGTTTGAGGTTGCTATGAGCTTTGACACCATGGTACTCTACCTAGGGTGACAGCTTGAGATTCTGTCTCAAAAAAAAAAAAAAATGATCGTGTCAATGATAAATTATATCACAATTAAGCAACTGTTTTACCTAGAATTAGTCCTTGTGTATTTATTTATTTATTATTATTATTTTTATTTTTTGAGACAAAGTCTCACTTTGTCTACAGCCTTTGGTAGAGTGCTGTGGCATCAGAGCTCACAGCAATCCCAAACTCTTGGGCTCAAGCCATTCTCTTGCCTCCACCTCCCTGGTAGCTGGGATTATAGGTGCCCACTATTTTTAGAAGCAGGGTCTCGCTCTTGCTCAGGCAGGTCTCAAACCTGTGAGCTCAGTCAATCCACCTACCTCTGCCTCCCAGAGTGCTAGGATTATAGGCGTGAGCCACTGCTCCTGGCCCTTATTTATGTTTTTAGTCTATAGTATTCCGGAGTTACTCTATGCCATTTTAACTCCTGTATGATTCAGCTAAATTGAGTTATCTAGATTCTGGTGTAGAGAGTAATTGGTTGAGAGGTTACTGACTACATTGGAGTCATTTTTGTTTATGTTCAGGCTTAATGTATTTCTAGGCCTACACCAGGACTGAAAAGTAAAGGTAAGCTTCTGTAGCTGCACTGCATCACTGGCAGAGGTTAGTATGCAACAAATAATCTATATGTGAACCAACTACATTTTAAGTTTTCATTTCCAGAATGAAATACTTCTATAGTTTCTCCTGTTATTTGACATTTATTCTAGTTTCAATCAGAACATTTAGAAAGTATGTTTGTTGCAGCAGAAGTATCAAGGAGTCTAAATGTAGAAGGGTTATTGTTTTATATGTGGTAACTCTCCTAAAAAGCAAAGTTGTTCATTTTGAACAACTCAAAGTTGAGTTCTCAAAAAGTTAGAGTTATCATTCTCTTTGTAATTGGATTAAATTTTCTATACAAAGTTATAATAAAGGTGATTTTATATTTTGTAAGTAAGAGATGAGAAAAGGAGTTATCTAAAACCATGAAATGGTATAAAGTATGGAAGAAACAATGTGAGATGGAATTTTCTTCACAAAACTGAAGATCAGAAAGTGATAATATTCTGGGAAACTTAGTTGAACTTCTTGGTTTTGGTCTTTAATTTTTAAAGTAGTTTCAGTTTGATCCCAAATTGAGCAGGAGAAAAGATTTCCAAATATGAACTCCCTGTGCACATGCATAGCCTCCCTCATTAACATCATCTCCAACCAAATGGAACTTTTTGAAAGAAATATAACTTTTCTTTGAAATATGATTTTTTATATAGAAGCTATCAAGGAATTAGTAAAGATTCTATAATGGATAAATCTGCAATGGATGAAGAGCTTTTGGAGGAAAGCAGGGTTAATATTTGGGGTTATTAGAAAGAGTACATAAAGAGCCCAGTAAGTAAAGGACTACTCAGCTAAGGATTCCTGATAAATTTCATGTTCTACCTTGAATAGAATGTATTGCAGCAGATGACTTTTCAAAACTCTGTTAACTGGCTCGGCGCCTATAGCTCACCTGGCTAAGGCGCCAGCCACGTACACCTAAGGTGGCGGGTTCGAATCCCCAGCCTGGACCCGCCAAACAACAATGACGGCTGCAACCAAAATAAATAGCCGGGCGTTGTGGCGGGCGCCTGTGGTCCCAGCTACTTGGGAGGCGGAGGCAGGAGTCTCGCTTGAGCCCAGGAGTTGGAGGTTGCTGTGAGCTGTAATGCCATGGCACTCTACCCAGGGGGACAGCTTGAGGCTCTGTCTCAAAAAAAAACTCTGTTAACTGCTGTAGCAAAGATTAAAAGTAATTAGCTGAGTTTTTTAGTAGGAAAAGTAATATTTTCACCATTGTCAAATTATATGAATTGAATAGTTTTTTGGATACAAAGTGGAATAAGCTAATAGAAGAGACTCTTCTGCACTGTGGTTAAGAAGCATAGTTTTAAAAATAAGGGAATATTCCACAGATAGTCTTAATTATGAAATTTTTCTACAATTGAGTAAATTATTAAAAATTAGGAGGCTCCAGTAGCTCAGTGGGTAGGGTGCTAGCCACATACACTGAGGCTGGCAGGTTTGAACCTGCCCTGGGCCAACTAAAAAAAACAACAATGGCAACTGCAACAAAAAAATAACTGCGTGTTGTGGCAGGCACCTGTAGTCCCAGCTGCCAGGCAGGCTGAGGCAAGAGAATCGCTTAAGCCCAAGAGTTTGAGATTGCTATGAGCTGTGATGCCATGGCGTTTTATCCAGGGCGATAGTTTGAGACTCTGTCTCAAAAAAAAGAAACAAAAATTCCTTATGTTTAATTTATATTTTAAAATTACCACATCACTCATTTTCTAAGAATGAACAAAATCATATTTTTTGCAAGTTTTTAATCTCATTATGAGGAATATGGAATTTAAAACAATACTGTTACTGTTGCCTTTTCAAGTCTGGGAGAGATTTTTGGTATTGTTTTGTTTCTGTCTTTTTTTAGGTTAAGTAGCATCATTAAATTTTGGGAGGCATTACAGAGTAGTAGTTAAAAGGAATCATGTTGCTTGAGTTTGAATTGCACAAAATAGTTTTAGCTTGCCACAAAATAGTTCTGTATAACCTTATAACCTCTGGATGGCAGTTTCCTTATTTATAAAATGTATATGCTACATGTACATGTGATGAGGTAATATATCTGAAGTACTGACACTTAGTGTGCACTCAACAAATGTAAATGGTTATTATCAGAGTTTACCTTTGCAAGATATTTTTATCTTAAGACTTGATACATCAGGGACACAAATTATCCTGAGCATGGCTCCTGGAAGGGTTCCTGAGAAATTAGTGATCAAGATGTCTGGCAAATCACATGTTTCCAAGAAAAAGTCTCAACAATTAAAAAGAAATTCAGAAAGAAAAACTGATGATGATGAAGAGTTATCAGAGAAAAGGATTAGAAACACAGGAAAAAGAAATTAAAATCATCCAAACCATCTGTCTTCTGAAGGACAAACAAAGCGTACTAATATAAAACAGATAAAGATAGCACCCAACAAAAGGAAAACCTGGCAACCACTTTCAAAGAGTAGCAGAGAGTATTTGCAAACAATAATGGAATCAGTCATAATAACAATTGTGAATAATAGTAGAGAAAAAGAATAAATACAGTATCATCTCAACTTACTGAAAAAGATTGCTACAACTTTGTGAAACCCTGGAAGTCCCTCCTGAAAAGCTGAACAATTTAACTCATGTGTCAAGTCTACTGGATGTGGAAAGGGCATAGGAGCAAGCTAATAAAGAAGGTCTGGCATTATTGCAGGAAGAAATAGAAAAAATGGTAGAGACTGCAGAATTGATGACAGGATATTCAGAGCCTAAAGAATAAAACTGAAATTCTGGAAAGTGAGGTAGAAGAGGAAGAGAAGACACAAAAATAAGTGCTTCAAATGGATAGTAGGAGTGTATTCTCTCTTCTAGAACTTTCTCAGAAAAGTCTCAAAGCACTCACACTTCAGAAAGAAATTTTGACACTAATTCCAAACCAGAATGTTCTTTTAAAGGACTTGTATGTTCTTCATCATTCCTTCCAGATTAAGAACACGTTAGCATTCATTGAAGAAGCCTATAAGAAAGTGGATACCAGCTCAGTGCCTGTGGCTCAAGTGGCTCAGGTGCCAGCCATATACACCTAAGGTGGCAGGTTCAAATCCAGCCTGGGCCCACCAGACAACAATCATGGCTGCAACCAAAAAATAGCCAGGTGTTGTGGTGGACGCCTGTGGTCCCAGCTACTTGGGAGGCAGAGGCAGACTTGCTTGAGCCCAGGAGTTGGAGGTTGCTGTGAGCCGTGATGCTACAGCACTCTACCCAGGGGGGACAGCTTGAGGCTCTGTCTCAAAAAAAAAAAAAAAAAGAAAAGAAAGAAAAAGAAACTAGATACCACCTGAAGAGTTTTTTTTCTTAGATTGTCCCATATTAATGTTTATGATTTATAAAGCTATTAACCTATGATGATATTGCAGAGGGTGAGGTTTCTGCAGGATTTATTGTGCCCTGATACACACTTTAAAATTAGCCTCTGTAGGCCTATCATTAGTATCTAGTGTAGTTCTGAAAACTCTTTTTTAGCAGTTGTCAAATCTAGGAAATCAACATTTATATTGTTGTGTCTACAATTACTTGCCTAAAACCATTAAAAGAATAGTAACCATGACCTAATAATTTACAATGGTTAAGTGGAACTTACTTATTGGTTAAATGTGGAGTTGTGGTGTGTAAATTATGTACAGTACCTAATTTGGAAAAGCACAGGAGTTTGCTATTACTAGTTCTGTAGCTGATGTGTTGCATTTTCTGCCTGATCATTTGGAAGCTGGAAAATCCTCACTTTTACCTAGCTCCTTAGTCTTTTTGGAAAGTAGTTAAGAATTGCCAGGTACGTTTAACTTAGGAAGTAACATCAACATTTTATTTCTTTGGTAGGTAAGTGCATCAATTTATTTTCTACTGTCATGAAAGCATATCTTTACTTAAGAAGATTATCATTATTATTATTTTTGTGGAGACAGAGTTTCACTTTATCACCCTTGGTAGAGTGCTGTGGCATCACATAGCTCACAGCAACCTCCAACTCCTGCAATTCCCTTGCCTCAGCCTCCCGAGTAGCTGGGACTACAGGCGCCTGTCACAACACCTGGCTACTTTTCTGTTGCAGTTTGGCCGGGGCCGGGTTTGAACCCACCACCCTTGGTATATGGGGCTGGTGCCCTGCCCACTGAGCCACAGGCGCTGCCCAAGAAAATTATTTTAAAAGGAACTGTAGCACATTTATTCCCCTACGATAAAAAACAACCAAAAAAAAAAAGCCCTTTCTTATAAACCTTTACCAACGTATAATTAGCTTTTATATATATGTGTGAATAAAGTGTCACTTAAATATATATATAAAAAAAAGACTTGATACATCAGCAATGTTTTCATGTTTTAAATAGCAAGAAAGAAGTCTGGGAAAGTGAGTTTGAATGATTAAGGAGAGTTACCTACACCTGGCTCAGTGCCTATAGCTCAGCAGCTAGGGCACCGGCCACATATACCAGGGCTGGTGGGTTCGAACCCGGCCCAGGCCTACCAAACAACAACTACAACAATAACAACAAAAAATAGCCAGGCATTGTGGCGGGCGCCTGTAGTCCCAGATACTTAGGAGGCTGAGGCAAGAGAATTGCTTAAGCCCAAGAGTTTGAGGTTGCTATGAGCTGTAATGCCACAGAACTCTTACTGAGGGCAACATACTGAGACTCTGTCTCAAAAAAAAAAAAAAAGAAGGGTTGCCTATGCCAGAGAGAATGGTAGACTTTGGATAAAATAATTAACCTGTATCAATAGGAGAATGTTAGGTAATAAAATGTACAGGGAGTCTAAATGTCTGAAAGCATTAAATAACCCTAATTTCCTAGTATATTACATTTTCATACAATAGGCTCAAAATGGTTTTTTCAACTTCATATGCTTTTTTTAGTTGATATTCCTCTAAATTTGAGAGAGTGAGTTCCATTGTTAAGCTTAAAAAAATACAAGTTTCAGTACCCGTAGCACAGTTGAGTTGTTACAGCACCAGCCTCATACACCAAAGGTGGCAGGTTCGAACCCAAGCTGGGCCAGCTAACCAACAATGACTACTGGAACAAAAAATAGCCGGGCATTATGGCTGGTACCTGTAGTCCCAGCTACTTGGGAGGCTGAGGCAAGAGAATCACTTGAACCTAAGAGTTTGAGCTTGCTGTGAGCTGTGATGTCATGGCACTCTACCAACGGTGACATAGTGAGGCTCTGTCTCAAAAAACAAAAAAAAAAAAAAGAAAGAAAGAAATATTGTCCTTGTGTTTTCAGACTTTTGCGAAATTGTTTTCTATTTAACAAAAATAACCCTCTGTAGTGTTCTTTATGGATCAACACAGGATATATATAAATGCAGAGATATCTTGTTTAGTTAGACATTTAACAAGTTACTGTTTTTAAAAGTAATGAAAATGACTTAAAATATAAAGCAAACAATTATCAAAAAAATAGGTGAAACATGTATGAATAATACAATAAGTAGCAAAAAGTAATTGTATTAAGTCTAGGCACAGCCTTATATAATTACTAAGTAGTTAGACTGTACTCATATATAATAGTTACGAGCATAGGATGTAGAGTCCAACTGCCTGTCTGAATCTTGGCTTCACCACTTATCAGTTATGAGACTCTAGGAAAAATTTTTATATGCTTCACTGTTTTCATCTATAATATGAGGGAAATGATAGAATCCACTATGAGGGTAGGTAAGTATTTAATAATTTATTTAACTACTAATTTTCTTAAGTCAGTCTAGGCACATGCATATGATTTTTTCTTTTAATACTCCCAAGATGATCGTTGCCAGCCCATCAGAAAATGGACAGGTACTTCGTGTAATTCCATCTACTCAGACAGGAACGACACAAGTGATTTTACCTCAGGGACAGCTTGTGGATGTGAAAAGTCCTCAGGGTGAGTAATAATGGGGTATAAGGGATTTGAGAATGTTATAAGGAACAAATATATATTTTTAAATATTGCCTCATGAAAATCAGTGCTAAAATTCATCTCTTTAGGTAAGATTGTGAACTGAATAATTAGGAAACATTTTCTTGGCCCAAATAAATTTCAAGTTCATTTTTCAACTCCCGTCTAGGTTAACTGTCTATTTCATTTTGGAATTCTATGAAGCTGGTTGACTCCTGCTTCCTCCCAAATGACCAGTGAGCATAAAATAAATTCTTCTTAATTATAGTAACAGTAAGAATAACAACAACAATAACAAGAATATTGTGCTAATAGGTGCAAAAAAGTTTTTATATTTGTATTTCCATCAATATTTTTGTTAGCCATGTGACTCATTACTTTACCTTTTTTATCCTTTTGCTCTGTTTCTCTTTCCTTTGTCCCTTCAAATTCAGAAGGGAGAATCACACTCCCTGTTTTTTTTTTTTTTATATCTTTCTTTACTTCTTTGATAATATTCCTATTATTTTTCTTCCTTGTGCTTCCCTTCCTTTCCATCTATTAGAATCTCTTTTCTAACATTGTACCTACATTATTTTGTTGCTCCTTCATAGTCCGTGGTTTAGGTAGATATTTTTACCTTAGTGTTACAATTTTTTGTTAATTTAACAATCATTAAAACTTAAGAAAAAAAACAGCTTGCCGAAAACATTATAAACATTGTATGTAGTTTTATATTTTCCTATTATAAAACTCTTAATATAAAAATTATTTCTAACAATTTTATATCCTAGGTGTTCAATTTAAATTATGAAAACTTGTATATAAAAAAAGTATCATGATTCATCAGAGAAACTCTCAATGAAACATAAATTCAGTTATGTTTAGCTTCAGATAACATCTTCCTTTATTTATTACAAATATATGTTTAATTAGGTCTAATGTTGTTATGTTTTTGTTTTTGTCCTTAAGATATCTCTGAAGAGAAACCCAGTGACAGAAACTTAACAACTGTAAGAGTAAATGCTTTAACAGACAATCCAAGTAGTTACATTCTTCATCCACAAACATGCCTCACATTGCCCAAAAAGTCCGTGACCAGGTGAGTCCTTGGGAAAGAGGATCTGATGTTTTGATATCACCATGGAAATAATTTTATAAATAATCATATTTAAAGCTATAGAAAAGATCAGAAATTCAGGAAATAGAAGAAACAATCATCAATCATGAAATATCTTTAGTTCTTTTATTGGGATCTTGGCAATAAGGAAGCTGCTCTGGAAACTATGTATGGTACATGTCAATGTGCTACTTTTCTTCAGTGACACTTATTATCTTTTCAAGCATTATGAAAACATCTAACATTGAAACAGTTTTTATAATAATGTTCATTCTGGTTCCTAAATTTTTTTAATGGTATTTATGCATATAATTCCTCTGTGCTAAAGTGTTTAAAATATTTCTTACTAACTTCCATTTCAGTTTTATTTTTGCCTTAAAATAACACTGTTTGTGATAATTTAGGGAAAATATGTACATGGTTTATGTATTCATATTCTTTTAAATGTTCTATGGAAGTATTTTTGAATTAAGATATATTTATGACACTTAATCTTAGAATTTACTGTTACTCTTCTCTTGATCTTAGCCAGAAGATAGAGAAATGATACATGTGTTACTCTTTTTTTTTTTTTTT